TTTTTTTTTTTTTTTTTTTTTTAGCATTTCAATACTAATTTAGTAGTAAGGTCAGGTAAGAGGTTTACCTGTGATTACAGTCTGACAGCTTAATCTGTGTGGTCTTTTGTCAGATTTTCTGAAAGGTATTCAAGCAAAGGTTCCAGATGAGGAGAAGCAGCAACTTTTAGAAACCTAACAACATGTAATTTTGTTGAATTTGCATTAAAAAAATGCCAGATTATTTTTTTTAAATTGCACCTGCTTGTTTCGATTACAATAGGCTTACTGAAATGAGTCTCCTATAAATGTCATGACGACTATCACTACTGTGTTCTCTCTCCTATTTTTTAAACATTTTACTGAGATCTGCTTTGCTATCATTCAAATATTTGATGTGCATTACTAGACAGAACAATATATCACCCAGGTTTAACAGCTGTGGTTTTGCTTATATTGAAAACTGGTTTGTAGCAATTTTCTTCTACAGTAGATTTATTTTTCATTAACTTGTGTTCTAATTGACGTTTTTTTTAAATGGCATTTTAAGACAAAACTCATCATTTTCTTTTTTAATGCTCTTAAGCCAATCATGTACTTTTTTTAATATTGCAGGGGCAGGGCAGGGCAGGGAGGCCAGGCTGGAGGCGGGCTCTTCCTGGCTAGGCAGATCTGGTGGCACATGCCCTGCTGGATAAGCAGTGATAGCAGCAGTGAGAGCCATCAGATGAGCACTGGATGTGCCCCACACAGTGGTGGGAGCTGCCCCCCTCCCTTGCCATGCTTCCCAATGAGCCACACCCTGTGCCCCCCAGATGAGCCACTTGTGGCTCTGTCCCGCACCCCGCCCCGCCCCATCTGGTCAGCACCTGCCACAGCCCCAGCCCCATTCCTTCCCTCACTGCAGGAGCCTTGATCTGCCCCCCACATCCCTCCCACCACACCAGACTTACCAGCTGGATGCAGCTCTTCAAGCTTCGGAAATTGGATTGGTATTGGCCAATATGCCTCCTTAAAAATCCGCTGTTTGTATTGGCCCCAAAAATCTCTATTGGTGTGCCCTTACTTAAAATCAAAGCTCCCAATACAGAAAAGGAAAGGGGGAATGGAAACAGAGGCCTAGAAAGGAGAAGTGCCAAGTGCTGGAGCACATTTATTGCTTAATTTACAATCCACTGCTGTATTTACTGAAGCACAGTATCTTATTGTGTACCTCAATCCAAACAATCTAATATGCAAGTACTCTAATTACTCTATGAAATATACAGATATTTTTAAGCCATCACTTTTTTAAAATCAAAGCTCTAGATGAAAAGGCAATGTACCTCATACAAAGTGATCACACCGTATGTTTGCACTGGCTCTCTCCATTGAAGAAAGATCTTCTCTTCAAAGGTGTTTCCTTGGATTGATTCAAGTGGTACAGCACTTGGGACTAATGGGAGGAAAAAGAAAAATGTATGGTTTAGGAAAAGTAATGTATAGAGAGGTTTAACCTAGCATTAACATCTTCTAGGACTGCTAACAGTCCATCAAATTTCAGTCCCCTGTTGAGATATAATACTTATATTCTGCAGGTATAATCAGTCTTTGGCAAATTTTTAAACAGACTTAATATCATCCTTTTCTCTTCTCTCTTTCTCCCAGATAAAATGGGTGTATAATACATTATACATCTGTTAGGAAATTACACATTTTATCTCTTCCCCATAGAATGACAAACACAGGATTGCTCTATGCGATTTTCTTCTTTAAATGTACAGTATTATAAAGGAAAAAGGATAAGCATATATGCCACCTGCAGTACAGTGAAGTCTAAAACAAATAAGTAGTGCTCCTCAGTAAAATGTCATTGATGAAAAAGGTGGAGAATTTGACTTTTTAACATTTAAGTCTAGTGTCTTGAAGACAACTTCTTGCTGATAAGTCCAGTATCAATACTTCTTCAGTCATTAATGTCTCCTATTAATTAGAAATATATTGAAAACTTGTATATGACATGCATAACAGTACTGAAGTTTCAGATACTATGATTAACCTGTACTAGGAATAGAGGGTCATACTTGGCATAGATCAGTGATGTTGGCTGATATTAGGACAGAAGCTTAACAGTGAAATGGTGATGATGACAATCCAAATATCTGATTGCCTTTCTTCAAGTCTTTTATTATAGGAGACTACTGGGACTAAAAAGTCAGTTTTATCAGAAGATTCTGGTAGAAAGATGCTGTCAGGCCTTCACTACAGTCTCCTCCCAAGCTTTGCAACTGCTGGCTTTTCTTCCCCCATAAAATGCTTCATAAAATACATAGAATGTTTTAGCATAACCCTAAAATGCAATATTCGGAGCAGAGAGGTGCTCACAAGGTCTGTGCACATCAGTTTATACCACAGACAGACCTTGAACTTAATAGTAGCTTGGCTAAGCTCTCACCAAGTAAAAACAATAACTATCTAGAAAGGTACAAAAGGGTTACCCAAAAGAAGAAGACATTATGCTTTAGGAAGATAACAGTAATATAATTAAAGAAAAAAAAAGGAAACATCATTGACTTAATAAATTATATTAAACAATGGAATATTTTCTCAAGCGTGGAAAAAGGCACTTCCTTTGGGCCATTTAAAACTGAATTAGGTTAAAAACAGACCATAGGAAGGAGTCCTCCATGAAGAGTTGGACTAGCAGAATAATTTGCTCCCAGCTCCAATTCAATGAAATGAATAACAGGCAGTGGCAGAGTCCTACTTTTACAGGGTATAAACTTGCTCCAACACACAGGTGCATGTTAAAGTATCTTGGAAAATCAACTTACAGGCTAGGGACAGAAGTAACACATAAATTGGCATAAGTGATCAGAAATTGGTTTAAACCTGTAACTGAACAGAAGTTCAGTGCACATTAACCAGTTTCAAAACGGCTGAAACTGGTTTAAAATACACCTGGTTGAATGCAGTATCAGACTTAACTGATTAGGGTCAAACCAGTTTATGAAACTTCTGGCTGGGGTCTAGGGCCAGGGAGGGGGGTTAAACACCCCTTCCCCCATTCAAACTTACTGCTGGCTGCAATTGTGGACTACAAATCCCAGGGGCACCTGGAAGCAAGAAGAGGAAGTGAGGAACAACCCTGAAGAGTCCTGCTGCTGTAATTCTGCACTGCAAATCCCAGAAACTTCAGGGACAGCAGGAAAAGGAAGTGAACACAGCCACAGAACCATAGTCTAGCTCCCCCCTTTCTTCTGACCTGAGCCACTGTAGGCAGGCATGTGGCTGCACTTCCTGAATCAAAGGTAAATGTCTGTTCACTTCTGTTTCAATTTAATTTGTGCTGCTTAGACTAACCTGCAAAGACTGGACTGATTCAGGCTTGGTCTTGACTGTCTGTATTTAGTCACATAATACAATATAAAAGCAGTGCAGTTGCAAACCCTATTTCCACACCTCCTCTTCCATGAATGCGCTGCAATACTGGAGCAAAGGATGATGCACCCATGTCAAGTGGTTAAAGGACATCATGTAAAAATGACTGCTTAAAAAAAAATTAACTAAAAGATAAAAAGGTTAAATTTAATGACCTCTGTAGTTCACAGTTTATATATATAAACAGTACATAATGGCCCAGATCCTACAAGGCTAACTTCTACCTGTACACCAAAAAATTTGGAAGTTGGGTTTATAGTAATTCCAAAAACATGCTTCATTTTTTATACATCTTTGGTCATGTCTGCACAAGATGCTTACTGCGCAGAAGCTTGTTACTAATGTACAGCAGTGTCACGGGGTACAAACTGTGATGCGATGCTACTGCGCAGTAGTAAGCTACTGCACAGTCATCATCACTACGAGGCCATGCAAGAATGCTACTGCACAGTAACACCACTTACTGCACAGTCATTTAATACTTGGGTATGCAAGTAGTAAATGATGGTGCAGTAACAACTGCACAGTCACTGTTTCATGTAGATGTGGCCTCTGTAGTTCACAGTTAGTATGTGTGTAATGCATGTTCTTGGAATTACTATAGACTCAACCTCCAAATTTTTCAGTATAGGAGCAGGAGAGAGAAAGAGAGAGAGAGGGAGAGAGAGAGAGAGAAAGCAAGAATGAGAGCATAATGCATGTTCTTGGAATTACTATAGATCCAATGTCCCATTTTTCATTGTAGGATTAGAAGTTAAAGGATCTGGGCCAATATATACTGTTAAATAAGTTGACAGCTGTACATTAAAAACAAGAAGGTAAACTCTTGTATCTTTTCTGGTTCTTGGCCTTTCCAATGCATGCAGTATTCAATACAAGCAAAGTATTCGGGGAGTCTTTTATTTAACGAATTAGTATGGGTGGCTTGTTTTGTAAGATTTATTTTGGTTTGTAAGTTTTAGCAATTATCCTGAACAACACAAGCAATGACATTTTATTGACATATAACTTTAATTTGTTTTTGAAAGCTCTGGGTTTCAATTTTTTTTTCTATTTCTGACAGGGAAAATTTGGCAATATTTAGAAATATATGTAGTTTCTTTTTTCATACAAGTGTCCAGTGATCCTGACTATACAGGAACAGAGCTTCACGTCAGGAAGGAAGGATTATTCATCCCTGAACTGCCAGATTCTCTTGAGAAATATGAGAAGGCCTTTTCTATTGTGAATGCTTGATTGACCAAAAGAAAGTCTTTTTGAATTTCACTGTTAAAAAGGCAAGTTATTCATTAGAAGGGTATATGAGAAATGATAATATGCCTTATTTAAAAAATGTACTACAATGGAAAGAGTCACAGAATCATGATCCTACTCTTACAGAACTTTCTACACCAAGAGTATTAAAAGAACGATCTGAGAAGCCGTCAGATCTTCAGTGGTGATTTTAACAAGTCTTAAACTATTGGGGAAGTTCAAGAAGACTGGTAAAAAGCAAACATTATTCCAGTTATAAAAAAGGGATACATGAAATAACCAAACTGATTAGCTTGACATTAATACAGTACTAGGAAAAATCATGGAAAGGCTAATATGGAACACAAATTAGTAAAAAATTAAAGGATAGCAGCAAAATTAATTCTGGACAATACAATATTATGGAACTAGGTTTTACCAAACTTATTTTTGTGAGATTACAGTTTTGCTGATAAAGGTGATTAATTTGTGTTAATATATTTAGGATTCTATTAGACATTTGACTTGGTGCTATATGACATTCTGATAAAAAAAATAGTACCATACAAAACCAATACAGCATATAGTGAAGGGATAAAACTATAGCTAACTGACAGATCTACAAATATATATTGTAAATGTGGATTCACCATGTAATGTTTGTTTACTGTAGAATCGTCTGGTGATTTGATTTATTGTTGGCCAAATACAATAACTGACATGATTTGGAAGAAAATACAAATTGACAGTGGCAAAGTGTTCAGTTAAAGAAACTAGGGGAGTTGGAAACCATTTTGGTTTACAAAGTGATCTGGTATAGCCAAAAGCAAAGCCAAGCATCCATGAATGAAGTTCAGTTGCATGAACTGGGTAAAGGAATGTATTCTGGAGTACTGCAAAGGTGGTATGAAGCCTGGTCACAAAACAGCATAATCTCCTGGGTTGACATTGTCGTTAAGAGGGCTGTAGTGCAATCCTTTGATCCATATGAAGGGTAATCAAGTAGGAATATTGGAGGTAGCATTACCTCAGCACATTTGCGGATGAGATTATTACTGGGACACTTGATTAACCATAGGAACTTGTGAGGAGGGGATTTTGTATATGCTCTAACTCTTGAAGTCTCTGAATAGACCCTGAATGTTTCCTTCTAAAACATATGTTATAACCCAAGTAGTGTAATGGACTTGATGCAAGAACTACTATCTGTTATGCAGAAGGTCAGACCACGTGCTTATAAGATTCCCTTTCTAGCTTTAAAATTGATTAAGTCAATAGAAATTCTGCTACTGGCTTTAATGAAATCAGTATTGGGACCTGCACAAGTAATAACCCTGTTAGATGACCGTCTGGTAATTTGCATGTTTGATTAATGCAACTTCACACAAAATTGCAAATGCATTTAAATTTTTTCTGCTTCAGTCTTTTATTTCCTCTCCACTTTTTTCTACAGTACACCTCAATTTCAGAGTGTGCGTGACGGTATGCATATCTGTAAATATATACACACCTTTTTTTAAATTAGTATTTTTTTCAATACATTTGCTGAAGGAAGTAAATGCAAAAACTCACCATCTTCATCAGTTTGTACTACAAGTTCTTGACTTTCTTTTCGACCTTCAGGGTTCATCAGTACGAGTTTTATGCTAACATTTGTGTACGGTGACAGATTAGTAATTGTGTGCTGAGGGTGTGAGCTTTCCGTATCCCAACTAACTTCCTCTCTGACTTGCTCTTGTCCTCCAGCTTGATAGCGGTAGTGGACTGTGAGGTTGTATCGATGGCAACGTGTTACGTTGTATCCAAATGGCTCCCAACGAATAGTGATTTGACGAGATTTGATTTCCACAACTTCTAGTTTCCGTGGTCCACGCATGGGATCTGTAAACATACCCAAATAATTTTATCTAATTTTTACACACATTAAAATCTTAAAAGTAACCATATACAATCTTTGCATATTATACATTAATGACAAGTTGTACACATATTCATTTGACACTATCATACCACAGCTATACAGAAATTAGAGGAAGATTAAATGCTACTTAATTGACCAAAACCTGCTTCTGATGAAAGTGAAACTCCTTTCATTCCTTCTGGCCTGGGTAACAGCGAGACTACAATAAGAAACTGAACCCAAGTTTCAACCATAGCTCTGTACTATTGCTGAGATGGCATATGTCCTACATTTTTAGTGAATTATCTACGTATTCAAAACATTCTCATTAGTAGAGCTATTATACATATTTAGCAATAAACTGGATTTTTTTTTGTAGAGGAGCCCTCAACAAGATTAAAGACAATGTCTGATTTTATCTATTGCTTCACTAGTTAAATGCTTAGAAGAGTTTTAATGAGCTAGAAATTTCTTATACATAAACAAATTAATATGCATCTCCCCTCTCTCATGTTTATTAATCAACATGTCTTTACCAACAGTGTTCTAAGCACTTTCCACCAGACTTCATCACTTTTACTTTTTACTAAAATCCCAGCATGCTTACAATATTTGTTCAAAGATATTACTCATCTTCATCTTAACTCCTTGAAGAAAAGGTGTTAAGGAATTATGTGTTCTCTGTTCCAGCCTACAAAGAAAAGCTTTAATGATTTTTGTTTTTGCTTTAGATCCTTTAACTATTCTTGTATTAATTGTTGTGGAATCGCACAGTGTTGATCAGCTTTACAAAATATATATATTTTTCAATCTAGACTCCATACTGCATTTGCCTGTTTATGGCCAGATGCCAGTGTTAAATTAACTCAACAATGAAGTTCTCCGTTTTGCGCCCCCCCTCCAACAGCACTTTACTTTCAGCTTGGTACACCCTTGCAGTGAACATGCCCAGAAGAGGTATCATGTCAGTTTGAGCTGATTCACCCAGGGTCTCTATTGTTCACATGCTTCAACAGGGCTTTTTGGCACTTTAATAGTTGACTGAATCAGCTATTAGATAAAAGCACCAACAAGCCCTGCTGAAGAATGTGAGCTAGACCAGGTCAAATTGACACAATTCCTCTTCTGGAAAAGTGTTATTCTCCCCCCCGTCAACAACCTTTGTGACTGGACTGAGTGAGCCACATTCTTGGTTAGATTAATTCAGTTGGAGCAACGCAACTCACTAAATCAATCTTGATCATTGGATGCAAGTTTTGTATCTTACCACAATTTAAGAGAAGAAAGGTAAATCTCAAAAGATACAAAACTACCAAAGTTTGAACGTTTCCCTAAATGTCTATATCTACATAATTCAAGCAGAAATCTCATGAATACTGGTGCTTTTTTCTTGATTTCTATCTCAGTTTCCAGCAATTCATGATTCAGGTTTTTTCTGGGAATACTGTAAGAATAGCCTTTCATCTGGTACTTTGAAACTGCTGCATTATTTGCAATGGAATCAATAGGCCCAGCGCATTAAAGGTGTAATGACACTATTACTGTACATTAAGGCTTGAGATTTTGAGTACAGAAACCTTGGTCCACTAAGTTCTATGGCAGGTACACCAGAAATTTCATACCAAAGTTAAGAAATATACAGATTAGGAAACATACAAGAAAAAAAACCAAAAAAACCCCCAAAGCTTTTCGAAACTGAAATAAAAAGGTTGTATAAAATAAACTAAATCAAAGCTTATAAAGTCCTTTTGCTAGAGAGAGAACATTCTTTCTCTCATTAATTTACTTATTCTACCAAGCACTCCTCCTCTGTGGAAAAGAAAAGGTTAGTATTATTGATGAAGCTTTAGTAAATTACTCTGAGAATGATGGTTTCTTTACCTGATTTTGAGGAGACAGACAGACACCAGGTGGGACTAGAAATATGATAGTAAAAGGTGGGGAAACTCAGCCTTGGTTGATGATTTTAAGATATAAGGTAGGCAATCATTAATGGACAGATGATATAGGCTGATAAGTCAGCCATGACATTGATTACTATGGACTCTGACTTGCTTTATCAGTTCAGGACATCACTTATGTAGGTTTGATCAGATTACTTTCTTTTACTCTTCATTCAAAAGCTGACCAGATCTAAATGAGACCCCTCACTCCATCATGGTAGTGCCATGCTATGGTGCAGTCTAACAATCAGGTGAAAATTCAAGAGAGAGCATAGGAGGGAGATGCTGGGAGAAATCGGCTGGGACAAGGAAGAAAAGATAAAAACAAGATCTTGTATAGGGTCCTTGCTGTTCAGGTATCCTCACCGATCTGTTGCTCTGGATAACCTGGTAGTCAAGGGTCACCAATAAAGGGCAATCTCTAGACTGAAAAAAAAGCCAGCTGGCTATTGCTAAAGGGAATCCCCCTGCCCCCAAACCCATGAGTCTGTTATGTTATTTTGTTTCCCAAATTTTCTCTTTTTAAAGTCTTTCTATTTACTCTTCAACTACCCCCTTCCCCTCCCCCCAAACCTAATGATGGCAGAAGAATTTATTTTGCAAATTCTGGTTGGAACCTATTTGTGCACATGGTAGACATAAAAAAAATGGAGAAAAATGTTTATTTGAACTTCTGAACTGCAAAAAAGGCTATGCGTTGGTTCTGATTTGTGTTATGCCCAGTAAGTCATGCTAATTTTTAGTCTATATTATAACTTAAAATGTGGTCTATGACAATAGGTAAAGACAACAGTCTAACAAAAGGACCACAAACCAACCTCTGTCTGACCAAAAGGTAAGTGTTAGTGTCTTTTTCTTTATACCTTCCAAACATGGAAATATCTAACTCACTCTTTATACCTTAAAATACCAATTTAATTCACACAGTTTAAATGTAGTACATTACTCTCAACATAATGTAGAAGCTCATTTACTTCCCCCTGAGGATATCTAGGAAGTGAAAGAAATGTAGAGTACTTATACTGCTGTGTGCCTGTCCAATAACTCAAGAACAATGATGTTATGAGTTCTGGGCTAAGATTTTATCTTGTTTTACATGTGTAGCCCAGGTAACTTGGGTATATACTCCCCTTCTCCAATTGAAGGGGATTGATAGCTGGCAGGTGTGCTGTGAGGCAGGAACTGCAGACTGCTTGGTTTCCCTCCATCCCTATATAACCAGGCCAGGACAGTCAGGGGACTTAACTATATACAAATTTATTTACATTAACTTATCACAAGGGAAAGGAACATGGATATAAACATATGTACAATGTATATATATATTTATAAGATATCTAAATCAGTAAGATAAACAATACCCTCTGGGTAAATGACATAAAACCTTATACCAGTGCTCCAGATATAGGTAAGTCACAAGTAAGTATCTGATCTGAAACAGGTAAACTCCAAAGATAAACTCAATCCTGAGGAGAAACCCCAATGCCCTTGGGCTTTTCCCAAGCCCTACAAAGAAGCTGGTAACTTTAGGGGGGCCCTCTCAGTGGGACCTTCACTTTCAGGAGCCCTTAACTAACCAGGAGGGGGACTCCCCTCCCCTGCGGGAATCTTCTTTTCCCTGAAACTCACGGCTCCCAGGCCCGGAGGAGGGTCCCCGTCCTCTGTGCCAGGCTGCTCTCTCGCCTGCAGTGGGCTTCAGGGGGGGGAGGTCACTGTCCCCTGGAACAGGGCTCCGCTATGTAGGGCTTCTGGGGTCTCTGGCAGGCTCAGCAGCCCGCTCAACATCTGGCTTTCTGGAGTCAACCTTTTGCTGTGGATCAGAGGCCTGGGCTGCCTCGTGCAGCACCAGGCTGGGTCTGCTCCAAGACCGTCCATATAGCACCTCCTGCACCGAGCTCCCAGCCTTGTTCTGGGGGTTGAGGAGCTGAGCCGCCCAAGCGCTCCAAAGGTCCTGCTCCATGCACCGTCCTGTGCACCGTGTCTCTGGCCGCATGCCAGAGGTTGCAGACCTGAGCTGTCTCACACAGCTCCCAGGGTCTGGACACCATGTGCCATGCTGCACACCAAGAGCCTAGCTGCTGGAGCCGTCTGCCGTTCCCCCACTGATGGAAGACTTCAGGGGCGCTTCTGGGCTACTGCTTCGCCCTGCTGAGCAGCTCTCCTCAGCTCTTCTAAGCTCTGCCCTTCTCTCTTCCAAATGTGTTCCTCTCATGCTGGGCATGAAGCTCCTTTTATATGCTCCAGGGCTCCACCCCTGAAGTCTTCCGGACCTGAGTGTTGCAGTCTTCAATCAGGTCCATGGGGGAGGGGGGACACGACACTCCTCTCCCCGTCCCCTCAGGAAAGGGGCATTACTGAACTCCTCTTGCTGCCTCTTGATTGGGGGATGGACACCACCAATCAAAACAGCAAAATTTCAGGCCTGGGACTCAACCCAAGCTCCAAAAGGCAAGCCTGCTACACATGGATGGATCTAGGATTTTGAAAAGAGGAGTGCAGGTGGTATGGTGCATCATCACATATAACTTAACACATTTTTTCAGTTAAGGAGCAACTAGAAACTTGACTAATGTGCTAGAAGCCTAGAACTATAACATTCAGTTTAAGGTCAAAGATAAAACACATGTACCTTTATTAGAATCTGCACTACTTTGCTAGATTCTATATTAAGTTTAGAAAATGCAACAAGCTAGGCAAAAAATGGTCAAACAATATCATTTCATTTGTCCTGTAGTCATTATATTTAAATGTAGCAATCTCATTCCAATTTGTAAAACAAAGTCTAGCCCTCTTAAGTGTTCCTCCAATGCTTCACTTCAGTCAAGCCTACACCTGACTTAATTTTACTACACCTGAGTTAAGGTTTTTAGCTAGAGCTAAAGACAGTCTTCAGTGTTGTAAAATAAAAGAGACATTACCAGGAATGGTTAATAGGCAGCAATATTGCAAAAGAAAGGATAGTCTGAATAGTGAAACATTATATTTAATAAACTGAGAGAGGGGCATTAACATTAACTGCACCCCTCCCTTAGATTTAC